GTTATAAATTGTTCATACATGTTTATGCAAAAAGTATCCATATAAAAATAAAATGGCCAAAAAATCAATTTGATATATCTGTTATATGAAATTATCTATGATAATGATAATAAATATGGTCCTTTTCACTAGTCCAACTAAACATCTTTAATTATAATATTAAAATTAAATTATTGCTAACCACCAATGGGTCCAATGAATCATCTATAGGAATTGAACTAAATCATGGATTCAATTGGATCATTAGGGTTAACTAAAATCTAATGGACAATTTGACCTGTTTATTAGTTTTTTAAGCTTAATTAGGGTATGGTTCACCACCCATTCGGAACAAATGGAAAGAGTGAATAAGGCTGATTTGGTTAAATTGGTCTTATTGTTGATTTGAGTTAATTGGAATGATCTAAGTTTGATGGCTAATGGGGAACATTTAATGGTCAATTAGGCTCGGTAGATACGCAGTTGACTTAGTAAGACCTAGTGGAAATGCTAGTTTTTCAGGTATTCTACTTTTTTTAAAGCTTTTTTTTTTAAAAAATTTAGATAAATTTTATAAAAGTTAAGATATCTCGATATCCAAACATTTGTTGCCGTGTAATTTTAGTATATTATTATTATAATTATTCCACACATATTGATATAATCATATAGTGTTCATATTACTCTAATTTCAATTTTTAGTTTTGCAGTATTATATATATATGCATATAATAAATCCTTCATCGTTGATATCCATATTCCATGCATAGTTTATTGTCTTTTATATTTTAATAAATAGTGTTTATTTACTAAGTTTGATGTCTAAAACTCACTTATTGATATTTTTGTATCATATGTTCCATTCAACCACTTGAAGGTCTTTTCCACAAGAGCAGACTTTCTAGCTTTAGATTTATTTTTTGGTTTTTTTTTATAAATTGCATCAACTATTGTTGTGTTTTCTTTCTGAAATTTGGATTGTTATTTTCATATTGTCATTTCAGCTTCGATTCAATAAACTTTGTAATTTTCTATTAATTACATCAATTGTTTGACTCTTATATATGAAATAAAATAAATTTTATTTTTCCTTACTTCTCTTAGCTATTTTGCTTGCATATATATATTTCTTCTCGGAATACAAAACATGATCAATTCATTTTATCACATCCTATATTATCGGGGCAAGCCGTTTTTGCAACTTTGATTGTTACATTTTAGATTATATAAACTTTTTAGTATGTTGGCAAACTTATAAAATTTGATAAAAATAATTATACTATATTGATAGCACTATTCAAATATCATTAATCTTATTTGTCATTATATTTTATTATTCATGTCATTATCCTATAAATTTTACTTATTTTGTGTATTTGCAAATTATTATACACTATTGTGTTCAGATGCAATTTTTTTTGTTCATTTAAGTACTTGTTTATTTATACTGATGTAGTATAAAATAATTATCTTAGAAAATATTGCTTGATTGACAATCACTTTATAAAATTTAATATGTATGAATTTATTGGGACGAAAGAGGGCGTGAATAAAATGTGTTTTTACACAAAAGTATAGGAGTATGAATTGCACATTTTCTTACAATTGGATATAACAATTTGACTAAATGAATTACATGATGCAATGGGATGTATAAGTGCATGAATATGCATGCAATTGTGTACAAAAATATAAGAGTACAAGGAGATATAAGAGTTTGATGATATATAAAAATTGCTTTTAAGATATAATGGTATGGCGATATATGTGAAGCATTTGGGAGGTATAAGAGACCGAAAAGAAAATTGATAGATAAATTTCTTACCACAAATCTCATATGTTTTTTACACTATATTTTATACTAATACTTTATAATTAATATAATTAATTATTTGATAAAAATGTATTTAGTATCATTGTGTTTTTGGGAAACTTTGTTCATTTCTAGCATGCTCTTTGTTCACATTGTGACAATATAAGTTAAAATGCATATTCATTTTTCTACTGTATATTACAAATTTAAAATGAGTTTTATATAACCTATTTAGTTGTTGATCCTCATTTCTGCCTAATTTGCATATATGTATTTGAAGAAAGGAAAATATAAATCACCAAGTTGATTAGACATAGAGATTGCATGTTATATAGTTACATTTTTTGTTATATAATAGTTGTATTTTTGTAATCATGATAAATTATGAGATGTCTACCATGATTGTTATATATAAATATTTATGAACATATAGTTTACAATATGATAAAAAGGATGTTAAGTATTTATGTTTTATAATATTTTGATGATATTAATGATTATATGTTTTATATGTATATGTAAGAAAATTGAATTTATTTCAAATAGATCTTAGGTAATGTTCGTTATGCATCTACCATGAAATTGCCCACTCTAACATGAGGGTCGTGTCATTTCAGGACTTGAAATTTTTTTAGTTTGATATTATACATACATGTTAAAAGATTATAATGGAATGTGAGTGATATATTTCTTATCTGTGTGGTAGATGAGAGTAAAATCCATATTACTGAGGATGCTCAACTGATGAGAAAATTTCTAAATATATTTTTCGAGTATCCAATGACTTTTTCTTGTAACAAAAGATGTATACTTTGATATTGATATGGTATTTGGTACATCTAGTATTACAAAGTGCTCTTAAAAGATAGTAACCAAATAACTATTTGAGTCGAAGATCTATAAAAGTTATTACATTTTATTAAGTACATCATATCTTCATGGGGTACTTATATCATTTGCAGAAAACAAAGATGACACTGTAAGTGTATTAGTTGTGCACAAATGAATAAGATAACTATAAAGTGTCTCCTCCCCAAGATAAATGTTTTTTTATAATTAACTTGAGAATGCATAATTAAATTAAAATATATATTTGAGATTTGAGTATCGTCAGAAGGTTCATTGAGATAGATACGACGAAGATAGTTTTCAGTACTTGTTATAGTTACTATGAGTTTAGAGACATTCTTTTTCATACGACTGATGCCTCTAGTTTTTGAGAATTTAATATGTTGAGGGCACATATTAATCATTTTATCATTATTTTTTTAATGTTATGAGATTAGTATCAAAAACTTTGAGACACTAGTAAATATGGTAATGTTATATTAGTGCTTTAAATAATTATACGAATCATTAGATAAAAATAATTTATAGTACCCGTTGTGAGCTGAGCATACGAGTCATGTTTTTTGATATGACTAATACCTCAATTTAATTTATGAACTTAATAAATTATGTGTCAATGACATATTTTAATAATTTTATCAAAATTTATTAATGAATGTCCATTTAATAATCATACCACTCATTTGAATTTAGTACTAAAAACTATGCGACAATACATAAAATAATATTTTTTAAAATGTAAGTCATAGCGAGCTTTAAGCAAAGCGGGATGTGGCAGCACTTTTTTTTTTCTTTTGCAAAAGATGCAAACAATAGTTTGTTAGTAAAAATTAACTTTATTATCAAATATTAATTATTTTTTTAGTATGCCAAATCATTATAAAAAAAATTAATAATTATTTGGAGTAGATTATAATTACTCTAATATCATTTACTAAAAAAATGGTGCATTTTTACTGGATTTTGAGCGTGGGCCAATTCTTGGAATTAAAGTATTGTTTTGATCAACATGTACTATGACTATTTTGGACGTCTGAGTTGGGCATTGCACTTGCTCTTGCACTCCTTTGTTGGATTTTCTTTTGTTTTTTGTCTCCTTTTAGATGCCCCTTCTCAAACAACACCTATTCCAAAAGAAGTTGAGTGAGAAGAAATGAATTAAATTAGGAAAAAATTAAAAACTACGAAAGGGTGAATAAGAAGTTGTCTTGTAAAGTGATCCGCATACCTTTTTTGGGCTTCGACACGAACAAAATTGTGGGTGTCGTAGCCTTCCCATCACTTGCCTCTTTCACTTTGATCCTTTGAGAGCCATCTCTTTCATGGTAAGCTGAGAAGGGGAGAAATGTGAGGGAAATGAATATAATATAAATAGATTTGGAAACAAATAGAAATTTGTTGGATGAACCCTATTTATAAAGGTTTTGGTGTCATGTTGCTTGCATCTGACATGGTTAGACTGCATAAGGCGACAGTTTGAATGCTTACATGTTATAAACAATCACATGAACTAATTAATGTGACATCGTGGTGCTTGACCTCAATGTTGTGACGTTAAGGCCATGCTTGGTCAAATCTGGTTCACATCTTTTATCTTGCATCTGAAAGGTGGGGTGATCAACATTAATCTAATTAATTAGGCACTGTGACAC